GAACCGACTTTGTAACCAATTCACAACCGGCCCAACCAGACAATTTCAAAAGCGTATAAAACTCACACTCGCCCGAGAAATTAACAAATACTAAAGTGGATAAAACTCGCTCACGATCAAAACCTCAGCAACATCATGTTCAACTATCTTTGATCTGGTTGAACCAAGTGTGCAACAAATTCACAACCGATTCGACCCGCCAATTACAAAAGTGAATAAAATCCACTCCTTCTGAAAACTTGTAAACATCGGGTCAGTTTTATCAAGTTAAATTAGGTTGGATACCCATAGGTTTGAGTTCTCAAGCAAAAAGAAAAAGACAGATAAAAACCATTAAAGCTGATAATACTCATTCCTCACCAAAAACTCTACACACCAAGTTCAACTCGCTTTTACTAGTTCGAACCGAGTTTTTAATAATTCACAGTCAGCTCAACATGCCAACTCTAAAATAAGATAAAATTCGTTCTCGGTACAAAAATCGTCAGCACCGAGTCTTAGTTCAATTGTCATTCTCAACGAAAAGGAAACGGAAAAATAAAATAACATTAAACAGACAAATTTCGTTCTCGATCAAAAACTCGTCAACACCGTGTTCAACTCGCTTTGGCCGGGTCGAATCGAGTTTTTAACAAATTCACACTCTACCCCCACATGCCAACTAGAAAAGGTGATAAAATTCGCTCTTGATACAAAACTCGTCAATACCATGGGTTGGGTTCAATTATCATTCTCAACGAAAAGAAATTTAAAATTACTAAAGTCGGGTTCAAGTCGCTTTGACCTGGTCGAATTAGGTTGGATATCCATGAGTTTGAGTTCAATTATCATGCTTAACCAAAAGAAAAAGAGAAATAAGAAAATACTACAGAATACAAAACTCAGTCCCGATACAAACTCGGCAACACAAAGCATGTTGGTAGGGGTGCTAACCGGTAGGGTTAACGGTTTACCGGTTACCGTTCAACATCGGTTTCGTGTATACCGGCTTACCTGATGCAGGCGCTGACTGCCGATACCGATTTGCTTCGGTATACCGCCAACCGTTTGGAAACGGTCTCGGTTAAGGAAACGGTCTCCCGAAGTCCCGAAATGGAGGCAGTTGTCTCTCGTCCAGGCGTCCAGCAAATGGCAATTCTAGGAAAGAATAAAGTGGAAAGGGCCTGGGCCAATTGGCAATGGAGTATGGATCATTGGTGACTTGCCCTGTTGTTTTGTTGTTGCCCACTTCTTTGCCTTCTTGTCTTGGTGAATGGTGATTGGTGAGTGATAGTGTGATACTGTGACTACACTAGTAACAATTTTTCTGCCAATTTCTCTCAAGAAAGAGAACGTATGTCGGTCTGTGATAGTGACTAGTGGCAGTGGTAATGAAACAAAAAAGCTGAAATTCCTCCACCACTCACGTAGTTATAATTCTTGGTGATTGTCACTGACCAGTGACCACGTAGGCAAGGGCGCAAGGCACGTAGCTATTAAGCTATAAGCCTATAATTCCTCCAAGTTTCCAACAAGTGAATTCATCAATTCAACAAGTGACAATGACTACTATGCAGCCTGTTGTCTAGTCGGCTAATGAAAAAAAAATCCAACAAGTGAATTCCAAATAGCAAATACCAAAAAATGAAGATAAAAAATAGCATTATAGTAGCAAGTACTACGTAGCTATAATTTCAAAGGGAGCAGTCTGGTCTGTTGCTTATAAATGTTTGAATTAAGTTCTAAAAAATGACGATAAAAAATAGAATCACTAGATTCTCACTTGCCACCAATTCCTCCTTGTCCACTAGGACATCTACCATCAACATCAACAAAACTTTGTTGCTTCAAAGTGGTGCGAAGGGTATCATCACCATCATCCTCCTCATCTTGGTCCTCCTCGTCCTCGTCCGAATCTTCCTCCTCTTCCTCTTTCTCCTCCTCCTCCAGCACAACAGGTAAACCTTGTTTGTCACCTTCACTTGGCATGACAGTAGCACTTTCCATTCGAGTTTGGAAGTTAGTAGTGACTAAGTGTAATAAAAAATAAAAATTGTTAGAATTCATCTTATAATATATTATTGGGAAATGAGTAAAGGAATACTTAAAAATAAATTAAATTATGAATACTTATTTCTTACCACTCTTATAATCGATTTGGTCTTGATTTTCATCTTCTTTATCATCAACTTTTTCTGCTTTCTTCCCTCCTTCAAACCTTATCCAATCTTCAGCACAAATCAATGCCTCTACAATGATGGGGCTCAATGAAGACCTAAACGGGCTAAGCACTCGGCCTCCACAACTGAAAGCGGCCTCTGAGGCAAAGAGGAGACTGGAACAACTAGGATATCCTTAACCATCTGGGAAAGAATAGGATATCTAATGTCGTTCTTACTCCACCACAACAAGATGTCAAACTTCATATCATTATCATTCTCGTTAATAGCATCATTAGCATCTCTTAAGTATATGTCTAGCTCAGAAAAACCTTGAATCCCCATCTGAAGTTGCTCCTTTCTCATCTTCTTGAATTCAGCATCAAATGTCCCTCCATAAGATGCAGATCCAGTACCATCATCAACAATAGGAGTGATCTGAACAGTAGGCTCGGAGGGTTGAGGTGCATACTTCAATCTGTAAACCTCAAACATTGCAGTCATCTCTGCAGTCACATCTTTCTCCAAATCGTCTCCTTTCTTCTTCCCATACATCTTACCCCCCAACCAAGACAAATAAGCCAATTTACGCCTAGGATCTAGCACACAAGCCATGTAAACCAGTCTATTTATCCTTAGGTTCTCCACCACCTCATCATCATCATTCTCAAACCAATACTTCCGTACCTTTGCCTCCATTCTTTCTGCCATCCGTTGTATCTCTACATATATGTCTTTCTTAAAAAGTTCTACCACTTCATAGATGTCAGCAATAGCCTTGAAGAAAGTATGAGCAGTCACATAAGATGTTCCTAATACATCAAAAAATAACAACAAATTATTCACATATTAAAAGTTAATAAAAGTAAAAACCATGAATTTGAATAGGTGGAGTTCTGTTCACATACCTGATACCCGTAAGGTGAGCTCATAAAAGAACTTCAAATACTTCATTAGCCGCCGAATACTGATCCAATCTTCCTTAGTTGGAGGACCTCTCTTTGAGTCCACATAATCCCGAAATGCAGAATCATTGGGGCTCGAATACAAGAAGTTAAAAACAAGCTCAAACCTTTCTGTAGATTCCAACATCAAATAAGTTGAGTTCCATCTAGTTGGAACATCCAAAGATACAAGTCTTCTTCCATCCATTTGTGCATATTCAATGGTAGATTTGAACTTTGCACTTATACCTGGTGATGACTTCACCCATTTCACACAATCTCGAACCCTTTCTACAACAACTCCAACCTCCTTCAACCCATCTGACACAACCAAATTGATTATATGTGCCACACATCGAAATTGCAAATACTTCCCACCAAGCGAATCTATTCCCCACTCTTTCATCTTTGTTCTCATACATTGTACAAGAACATCATTAGAAGAAGCATTATCCATGGTAATGGAGAACAAATGATGTGTTTTCCAATCTTGTAGACATTCTACCAATTTTTCTGCAATATCCTTCCCACTGTGACTAGTGATGGGAACAAAGCTAATGATCCTCTTCTGCAGCTTCTAGTCACTCCCAATGAAATGAGCAGTTACACATATGAAGTTCTGGTTGTCATCAGAAGTCCATGTATCTATGGTGATAGAAATTCTTCCTTTGCACTTGGATTTGAAGAACTCAGATAACAACTCTTTTTTCTCCAAAAAGATTATATAACAATCCTGCCTTATTGTCTGCCTTCCAAGTATCACAAACAATGGTTAGGTTACCGCCATAAATCTTTTAAACCCTTCATGCTCAACAGAGCCAAATGGCAGCTCATCCAAGATGATCATTACAGCTAATGCAGTACTAGATTTTTGTTGATCAAACGTCCATGCAGTAAGAGAGCCTACCTCGCCATCCCCATGCTGATAATTCAACAGTGATTGACCACCGGCTGCCTTCCTCTTTCTATCGCATGCCAAGTGATGGTTCTTCAAACCAGTAGTCCCGTTATTTATCGAGTGAGCATTGATCAAAGTTCCACACTGTTTGCATTTGTCATATGGGTAGTCATCCACCAGAACCTCATCATAAGGATTCCACCACGGGGATCTCTTCTTCCTTCCCGGTCCTTTCACATTTTTCTTTGGCTCACCCACTACATCTGATCCTCTTCCCATATTAGTGATCTGTGTAGGCGTAGCAGCTGCAAGTGTTGCGGTAGCAGGTGCAAATTCAATGCTTGTGGTAGGTGTAGGTGTGGTAGATGAGACATTCCCTTGAATCCCTTCTGCAGCTCCAACACGATTACCCAATTTTTTGAAAGTGGTTCGAGGAGGAACGAAACCAATTTTTTTCGGACCATCTCCTCTACGAGGACGAGAAGGTTTTGTCCTATAACAAAAAGTAAAAAATCATAAAAAGTAAAAATCATTAAAATGCCAACATGTCAAAAAAACAAAAACCACTCAACCATAAACCATTAAACCACTATCTTACATTTTTTTACTTTGTTTCTCAAGTAACAAACAAAACAAAAACCACCCCTTGTGCTCGGCTCCAAGCCTACAAAAATGAACAAAAGAACAAAACAAATTAATTATTAATGAAACAATTATCATTTATACACAAGAGAATACGAAAAACTCCCATGCTTCTCTCTCTGCTCGGCAACAATACAAGAGAATACGACAAATTCCTCCTAAATGGCAAAATACATTAACAATTAACATTATCAAGCTTAACTCTCATGCTCCTAAATGGCTACAAAATGAACAAAACTACAAAAACCACGCCTTGTGCCAAATTCCCATGCTTCTCTCTCTGCTCGGCTACAATACAAGAGAATACGACAAATCCACCTAAATGGCAAAATACATTAACATTATCAAGCTTAAATAATTGAATACAGAATACGTACTCGGCAAACACGGGCACACGGGAACGTCAATTAACCTCACAGGCTCAGACGGCGACCAGGTTCGACGCAAACACGGCAACGTCGAAGGGACTTGAGGAAAAGTAAAAAACAGAGCCTAGCGGAGCTGCGGAGAGGATGAGGGCTCCTGGGTCGTGTCTCTTGACCGGAGCTTGCGCCATCGCCGAGGACGACGAAGATACTACAATCTACCGGTTTCGATCGACGGCGACGAGGTTCGACGAAAACAGGGCAATGACGAAAGGGCTTGACGGAAACAGAGCCGGAGAGGATGACTGTTGCTACCTGCTAGTCTGTGTCGTATCTGACTCTTGGGTGGAGCTTGTTGCCAGTGATGGAGACGATGAAGATACTGCCGGGTTCGATGAACGGAGCAGTGATCGGCAATCGTGACTCGTGCTCGTGTAGGCAGCAGGGTAGGGCAGCAGGGACATAAAGAGCGATGCAAGGTTAATTGCTTAGGTTAGGCTGTTAGGGCTTTTGTTTAATTGTTTTGGGTTGCCGGCGTTTGGAATTCAGTTGGCGAAGTGGCGATTGCGTACTCCGATTCGGTAATGGAATACTGCTTGGCCGACGGTATATTACCTATCGGAACTCGGTACACCGCTAGCATCAAAACCACAGCCGATTACCGTTTGTTTCGGTTAACGGGTTAACCGAAAACCACGATTACCGGTACGGTTATCGGTTAACACGTTAACCGCACAACCTGCTAGCACTCCTACATGTTGTTGTGGTTTTTCGGTAGTGGTCTTGGGACACGATGGATGGGTACAACCTAGGATTCCACCAAAAGTATTTCGAGATATGGTATAAATCTTCGGTAGCGGTCTTGACAAATGGTGGAAGAGGACAAATTATGATTTCGTCGATAGTGTTTCGAGATGGGTTGCGAATTGGTGAGCCAAGACAATGATTTAGGCGAAATATCATAGATGAAAACCTAATAGATAATTGTTGCAAAAGAGAACGCAATGAACAATAGATGAAACCTAATTGGCAATAGATGTAGATCCAATGGACAATAAATGAACATAAAGGTTGTAGAATGAGAGAGTGTGGTAAAAGATGGAACTTGAAACTTGGCCACTTGCAAAGAGGAGTGTGAGAGCCACTAATGAATAGGAACACCAAACCTTGACTTTTATATATTAATATATTAATTAATTAATGGAACTGAAGCTCTTTTTTTTTTTTTTTTTCTGTGTTACCTCAACTAGCCTGCCCTTACAACGTTATTTAAGTTAGGTTTCTTTTGCTCTAAGAGAGAAATTTTACAATGCTATATAGTATTGGTGCTATAGGATTTTGCCTTTATGGTACAACTTAAAATTGTACATTTACATTATGGTACAACTTCAGATTGTACCTATACTTTTTGTACAAATTCTTTTATGGTACAACTTGAACTTGTACTTTTATGTGATGGTACAACTTCGAGTTGTAAAGTTGTACCATAACATAATGGTACAAATTGCTTTATGGTACAACCTAAATTTATACATTTAATGTTATGGTACAACTTTAAATTGTACATTAAAGCACCAATACTATATAGCATAGTAGAAGTGCTCTCTTTGAGAACAAGTCTTACGACTTCATAATGAGTTTAGTTGATTTCTAAGCAAAATCTTACCGTTAAATGGATGGGTATGATGCTAGGTTTTGGTTAGTTACTTAACTTTAAGTGTCTCAACACAACAACACAATTCACTTCCATATCACACTCTCAAAGTAGGGCCCTGATTCAGTGGCCGATATCATTCCTCCCTTTATTGGTTTGCTATGCATCAGTTTATGCTTCATTCACATGCGTAAACTGGGTGTCCTCACACATCTTATTGGTCATTTCGTAGTGTTTCCATTGGCAGAAACAAAAGTAGCATCTAGGAACTCTTAAACCAGCCATTGTTTCAATTTTAGCACCTGCAACCCCAGGTTTAACGTTCCATAAATTGTCCATTTCATTTATCTCACCTTGAAAAATGAAATTGATTGGTCATCAGCACTATACGATCCTCAAATGTTATTATTTTGTAACAATGTTCCTTATCTATATGCTGATTGATGATGTGGGAATCTTTATGTCTTCTACCTTGATTTTACAGTTGCATCACTGTTGTTGGTCTTCTACCGCTGAAAATGGCACCTCTGTCCGTATGCGCATGGAAACTTCAGAAAGAGACCCGTAAGATAAGGTAGACAGGTACACATACTGAATTGGTGTGGCTAGACCAATTGTCCCTTTACCTTTCAAAAGTTTGAGTAAAATCAATGAACAGAAATAATGATATCTCTTGTGATCTAGATCGAATGAATTTTCTTAGATTTGTGCTAATGCATCCACTGCAAATAGCACAACACCAATTGTGTTTGCATTTAAGTCAATCGATCTGCTGCTATGTGTGTTTCATTTTTTTCGTTCTTCTTCTAAATGTTATATCTCTTTTTATTTTTCCCATTCTCAAAATAGCCAATCGACTACCTCACAAACCCAAGCGCCCCATACTCTTTTGGGGTAATTTCACAGTATTACTAAACCAAAATTGGAAATCGTCTCTATGTAGTTCTTAACCTGCTTAATGAACTGGACAAGTAGCACTACGGGAAAAATGACCTCCTGCAACACTCGGATTGCAACACTATTAGAAAGTGTTGCGATAAATATGTAATGGCAACACTTTTTGCTAGGGTTGCGTATTAGATAGTTTACGCAACCCAAATCTATTATTTGCAAAAATTTGTTGTCTTTGTCTACTATACGCAACGCTTATATAAGAAAATGTTTTTATGTTGCCAATTTGAATATTTTAGGCAACACTTTAACAAATTATGTTGCAAAATGTTAGCTTTTGCATTTTTATGGATAGCTTTACAACATTTTTTTTTTTGTATGCCAACCAATCCTTTTTGTTGACGAATATGTTTCCATACGGTTTTGCTTTTGGGTGTATATTGATGACTTGATAAGATGCCATCAATTTCTTCATTTCTCCAACCGAGCACATATAACTTTAATTTTTTAAAAAATATTTCATTTCATAAAACAAAACATGTTTTGTCAGTTACGATTGAATGGTTTCTTATGACCCATAAATATTTCTTGTACTTGGTGATATGAAATTTTTAAAAAATATTACACGATGTTCAGACTTCTTCAATCAAAGAAACCATGTATTAGAAAAAGTAGCCAAGGTAAGGTCGAACAGCCCACCACTTAACACAACTACGAAATTACTCCGCTTATCTATTTCTCAAGCTTTATCAAACTAAAGAATATCAATTCATCCCAGGAAAAAAAAATCATGCCTTCCCAGTGAAAACAAAAGTCACGAGGCTCATTCTGCCAAAAAGATAATGAAATAGTCAAATACTTAGCATCTTTTTCGCCAAATCAAATCTCAAATGAAACTTACAAAGTTATAATGCACAGTTGGACCAAATAAGAGATCGCTATTGCTAGAATAAAATAGCACGCGGATAACCAATTTAACCATCGATTATATTAGAATCAATGATGCAGGTTAACCTTTCATTTTGGGAACCATACGATTTCGCAATCTCCAACAGTTATCACAATTGATTTGGGAAATCTCCCCTATTGAGTTTATTTTAAATTTTAATTAGTTTCCTTTTCCTCCTTTTAAGGTTTCCATAACACTTCGTCTTCTTTCTTTATCTACTCAATACTCCTAGATCTATCCCTTTCTCACCCTCCCTTCTTTCGTCACTGTCAGACTAACAATGGGATGGCTTTCCCTTGGATTCCCCAAAAGAAAGAAGCCGAGCCTTGCATTTCATGTTACGAATGATGGTCGTGTAGGAGACTCATACCTCGTCTTCAACCTTCAACAGAAAGTTTTTTCTTACCTGCAAAGTTCAAGTTTCAACATTGATACTTGATTGACTTGGTTGATTTGTCTATAAAGGATTCCATCAAGATTTCATTTGGGTGATAAAAAGTTGTGGTAAAAGCCACATAAAATGAGTCTTCTTTGGCGAAGAAGTGAAGGAGAAAGCAAGGAGAGGAGATAAAAGCACAAGTCTGAAGCCTAATGATCGTAGATGGACTCCTCAAAAGTCATTGGATTTTGTTCTTGTTGTATATAGTATAGTAACGAGGTTATTTTCTTTTTCATTTTTTAACTTAGCTTATTTTCTTCTCGATATGATATATGTGATTTGTTATTGCAATTGGTTTGTGGATTCAAACAATTTTGTATGTTTAGGTTGATTCAAGTTTTACTTTTTTTGGTTTTGACAGCCATGACTCCTAGTTATGCCAGGAACAGAAGAAGACCAAAGTCAACTGGAGCCTAAGTGATGAGAAATGTTCTCCATCTTTGAGAAGAATTCTCCTTTTTACCATCCTCTGATATCAAACCGGAGGCTACCATTTATTCCTCTAGGTGATGGGGAATGGCAAGCTAGAAGGCTTCTCTTAGTTTTATTTTGCTTTGCTCTTTCTGGGAGAGTTGACTATACTTTCTCACCGGATGTTCTTGTCTCCTTCCATTCAGAGGTAAAGCCGATTTAAGAAGATAGATTCATCTACGATTAGAGGCACTGATAGCAGAGCAAAACAAGAAGTTAAAAAAATACTCCTTGCTGATTTTTAGGAAATTAAGCATTTGAAGAACATGGAAGAATTGTTGTCTTCGAAATGTACTCTCCAATCTGACGATGGCAAAGGAGAACCTCATTAGTCTACAATTTATGGTTTTAAGTGTTATATTTTTGTCTACTATGTTGTAACCATTCTCATCACAGCTCATATTAGAAGCGACAATGAAATTTGTCACTGAATATAATTTTTGTGACGACATACTCATATAATAAATTTGTTTCTGTGATGAAAATTTTGTCATTAAAATGATTTATTGTGACAATCATATAGTCATTATATTTATTAGTGACGATCCCAATTCGTCACACATAGTGTTGGATACGTACAAATAGTCACTCTAGTGACAACCAATCTGTCCCCTGGATCCACACCTTCAATTCCAAAATGTGTTTTTGTGACAAAACTATTGTTACAGGTGACAAATATTTGTGACAATTTGGTATGTCACTATTGTGATCTTTGCATCGTCACTAACTCATCACAAAAAGTTTATTTATTGACAATAGCATTGTCACGAAAATATTAGTATTTGTTACGAACAAAATTGTCACAACTGGGTTAGTCATTTGTGACGAATAAGACCCCTCACAAAAAAATTATATATGTTGCGAAAACTTGTAAAAAATGTTGCCTTTGTTTGAAAAATGTGTTGCAAAATTTTTGAAAGTGTTGCCTTAGGTGGTGTTGCGTTAGAGGTAATAATATGCAACCCTTTTTATTTTGGTTGTGAAAAATGAAAAAAACAGTTGCAGATTCTTTTTGCAACCCCCACTATATGTAACCCTACTAAAAGTGTTGCGATAGACTTTTGCAACTCTTTTACGAGCTTTTGCAACACAATTCTGGGGGTTGCAAGAGGCCATTTTTCCCGTAGTGTAGGAAGCTTTGGCATTGCTCATCGGGGTATGTGTTTTTTACTCCCCCATTGTTGGAAATAAATAAATTATTTCCTTTATATTTCAAAAGTTAATGGTGGGCTTATTTGGTGGAGAGATGCTCGTTTACACGAACAAGCCTCTTTCTTTTCTTGGTTTTGTTCTACGACTCTATACACGAACAAGCAGCCTATTTATAGGCTTGAAACTACATAAAAATTTGCACTCATTTAATTTGGGGCAGTTGGAACCGCCTCTGATTTGTGGCTATAATCCTGACGCAACCAACCTTCTTTCTACACAATTCCACAGACATAAAACGTATACTAGTATCTAGGGGTTTCTGATATTTTTATTATTTTATTATTAAACTTTAATTTCAACACTCCCCCTTAAAGTTTAATTAGTAGTAATTCCGAGTAGCATCCTCATCTTGACGAACACATCTTGCTTCAGCGGCTTCGTGAAATATCTACAATCTGGTCTTCAGT